TGGTTATGAACTTCATCTGCAATTTGAAATGTCCATCAAGAGCTCTTATCTTATTTGTGAAGAAAAAAAGATGAGTCTCTATGGATGTGTATAGAATATTAAAGATTTAACAAGATCACCATCAAGAATAGATATCTCTTATTTCTGATTTTAAGATTTTTTAATCAATTCAATCAAGCAAAGATCTATACAAAAATAAATTTATGAAGAGCATGCAACTTGGTTTGCATCAAAGAAAGAGATGAATAGAATATTACTTTTCAAACTAAATATGGCTACTTCAAATATAATGTCATGCCTTTTGGAGTCATAAATGTACCAGTTACTTTTTAATATTTTATGAATGATATTTTTTATTTTTTTAATAATTTTATTATTCATTATTTAAATAATATATTAATCTACTCTAAAAACATAGAAGAATATAAACTTTATATTTTTTATGTATTATAAAAATTTAGAGATGCAAGATTATATGCCAATATGAAAAAATATGTATTCTTTAGTATTCAAATTGACTTCTTAGGTTACATCATTTCCAATTAAAGATTAATGATAGATCCAAAGAAGGTCCAAATTATTATGGATTAGAAGATTCTAAAAATAATTAGAAATAAGCAATATTTTTTAAAATTTACCAATTATTACAAGATCTTTGTCAAGAATTTTTTTCAAGTTGCGGCTCCTCTTATATGTATAACATGTAAAGACAAAATTGAGTAGAGCAAACAAGTTGAAACATCTTTTGAAGCCTTAAAGACATCATTTATTTTTGCACCAATTTTATATTACCTTGATTTTTTTAAGATATTTTTTATAGAAATAGATATATTAGACTTTGCTATAGGTGATGTTTTGTTACAAATCAGAGCAAATGACAAGCTCTACCTATTAGCTTTTTATTGTAAGAATTTTTTTGCAATGAAGTTTAATTATGAGAACCATGATAAAGAACTTATAATTTTAGATTTATTTGAAGAATGGTGTCATTATCTAAAAAGCACCTTAAATCCACTTATTATATATATAAATTATAAGAGCCTCAAGTACTTCATATCAACACATATTTTGAATTATCACTATGCCCATTGGAACATGTCTTTATCAAGATTTAATTTCAAAATCACTTATTGATTCAAAAAAAAAAAAGGTTTATAAGATGCCTTTTTTAGACATTCTTAACTTGTAGAAAAAGAAAAAAATGCAACTTTTGATCAATAAAGAATGATTCTCTTATAGCCAAGGCATTTTTGTCTTCGAGCAATAAAATCAACATCAATTGTTGATTCAACCTTTGTTAAACAAATTCAATCAAATATGTCATCTGATCATCTTATTTATGATATCAAGAATACTTCTTTTAAGTCTTATGATACTTCCAAATTTTAATTCAAAAATAAACTAGTTTATTTTGAGAGATAATTATATATTTTAGAAGGCAAAGCACAATTACATGTCCTTTAAGCTCGTCATGATTTTCAAAAGTTGATAATCTTATGGTAGAAGCTTTGGCAAATAGTTTATTAGAGTTACATGCAAAAATGAAGGCATATTTAAAAGAAGCTCAAAAATGACAAAAGATCAATATAGATGCCTATTGCAATGAATAACCACAATTCAACAAGGATGATAAGATATGATTACTTTGTTGCAATGTCAAGATTACTTGTCATTGTAACAAGTTGAGCTATTCTAAGCTTAAATTTTGTTCTATTCGTAAACAAGTCAATCATTTTTCTTATTGATTATATCTACCAAAGTCTATGAAGATGTATCTCATATTCCATGTATTTCTTCCTAGGTCATATAAAATATTAGAACATCTTAAGAAGAAAATAAATGCCACTTCTTCCTATAGAAGTAAATAATTATCAAAATTTTGATGTAGAAAAAATCTTAGATTTAAAGTGATACCAAAATAGATTGGAATATGTTATTCATTAGTAGGGATATGATATTAATAAATGCACAAGGGAGCTAGCAAAGAATCTTGTAAATGCAATAAAAAAAAGTTTAAGCTTTTCATTGACAATATCTATCAAAACCAAGATAAAGAATAGTAAGACCAATGAAAGTTGATTACCGCTCCTTGTGAAACTCATTCTTAGAAGAGAGGTAATATCATGAATATACATATTTATTCTAATAATTATTTATATGATTAAGTAGAATTAGGTAAAAATAGATTAATTTCATAATATCTTCTAGAAAAGCTTCCTAGAAGCTTCTTACATGTTGTTATGACTTTACATGTGTTTTTAGTTAAATGATAGGCTAAAAACTTGGTCAACAAGTAAGTCACATATTAGAGGTATTAATAGCTTGTGGAACAAGCATACTATGTGGCCCACATACAAATAACTTACTTTGCAAGTTAAAACATGTGTTTCACAAAGTCACCATGTGTTAGAGGTTCTATAGCATATTGTCATATAGCTCCTAGTTAGATAGTATATATGGACGCAAAAATGAAGCCTTCTTCACTCTTGTTAATACTTTTCTAGTCTTTAGTCTTTTTTCAAGACTTTCAAATCTTTTTGTCTTTTTGTCTTTAGTAATAACCATTCTTGTTTAATACTATATCATCTTTGAGTAATTTTCTAGTTCTTTTGAGTGATAGAAGAGTGTATTGAAGATTTCTCTCTTCAAGATTCATATACTTGACAGCAATTGTAGATACAAAATGATTTAGAGAATAATATTGATAGCTCTTGTATTTTTTTCACTAGCATCTAGAAGAAACAAGATTATAAGTGAATAAAAAACCAATGATTATACCTATGAATCTAACTTCTATTGTACTATTTTTGCTATATTCACTTCAATAAGTTGTTATGTTTGTACAAAAATGATTCAAATATAAATTATTCTATAGTTTATTAAAAATTGATGATAATCACAATATCAAGTTTGTAATTATTTTTTTAGCACAATAAATAGAAAGGTATATATGAATTATTGATTGTGTGAATGTGTTTTTGAACCATGTTGAATTTAAGTTTTTTTTTTTTTTTTTTTTTTTTTCCATTGTATTTCCAATATAAGATTAGCTTAATTATTATTATATGCTATAATTTTTAAATTTTTCTTTATAAATGTGTTATAAGAAAAAATATATAATTTGAATAAATTTTATAAAATGAATTGATGTTGATTTTTTTAAAATTAATTTCAAGACAAATTATTTTAATTACAATAGGTGATTACTTAATTTAAATAAAAATCAAGTAAATATTTTCAATTGTATTCTATAATAATATCAAAGGATACAATATTATAAATAAAATCAAAATTAATACCTATTTTTATAAAGAACTATATATATATATATATATATATATATATATATATGATAATTCATTCAATGTTTGGCCACATATTATATATTTTTAATTAATTTAATTCATATTTTAAATTATTATTAAATCATCATTATAAATTTATTTATTATAATATTAAAATAATTAGTATTGTGTTGTTTGATTGATTTATTTATGTTTTGCCCATTTGTGAAGCTTGCATTTGCTACGTCATGACTTGATTTCTTATTCACCTAAATATTTCAAATACAATTTGTCTATTTTCACATATTGTCTCTACTTACAACAACAATAACATCCAAGATAACATTATGTCAAAAGTTGGGATATAAATTTATTAATTAATATTTTTTTAGATCATCAATAATAACATGTTATTTATTGATAATATGTAAACAAATAAATAAATAAAATTAACTTGTTTTACATGTGTAAATTTAATTATATGTTAAATCCATGACCTGATTTGTAAAAGGTAAATTATCCTCTATAATATTTCCTTAGTCTATCATTTTTTTTTGTTTCTAGACTCAGTTGTTATATTAATGTAGAATTAATTTTGAAGAACCTGAATGCAAAATTCCTACTAATGTGCAAGGTGAAATGCTTAAGAAGCTAAGATCTTGATGTCAACAAACTAAACTTTTTGGAAATCTGTGTCGAAAATCCGTGACAATAGCATGGGTTCGACTAGTATTGATTAATTAGGACAACAATACAATAGTTTGTGGTGATTTTCTTCTAAACATATGGTTTTAAATTTCACAATATGCATGTGATATATCACATGACATCCTGTTTTAAAAGATGTGTTGATATTTCAAACTAATACTGCACAAGCAAGTCATAAAGGAATTGAAATACAATAATTCTATACTCAATATAAGGAAAGTCAGTTGAAAGTATTTAATCTTTCTGACATGTATTCAAAACCAGTTGATTTTTATTATTTAAATGCTTTAAATGTTGTTTCAAAAAAAGACATTCATTGTTGAATACTTCAAGTATGGTCTTTTTAGCAGAAACAAACATATTAAAATTTGCATGTTACAATAAGTTCGAATCTTTGATGTACACCTAATAATTTATTCAACAGATGAATTTGATATTTTTTTTCGTCAACGAAAATATTGCACTTTGTTGTTATATATAACGTTTGTGGGCATTTTTGGTATAAATCAATTCAAAGTTGACTTCTGTAGTAGGTTGCCAGAATATCATTATGAATTTGGTGTACACAGTTCACCGTAAAAAAAACCTATTAAAACAAGCAATTAACATTAACTGAAGCCGTGAGTGTGCGGATTTAAAAATTAATAACTAAATAAATAAACCTGTAAGTGTAATTACATTTTGAAAAGCTTTCGAAATGACTGTTGAAATATGGAACAATAACACTGATTTTGAATAAAGTATTCCTGTACGATTCCCCCCCCATTCCATTACACACAACATGACAATGTACATCGCGCTCTTTTGATGTTAACATTCTGTTTCAAGTCGAGTAAAGTAAGAAGTACGACAAGTTTTGGAAGTACGGGAAATTCATGACCATCACTAGGTAATGAACATTGTTCGCAAACTTTCAATTTGTGTGTTCACGGCTTTCTGTTCATCATGTGCTCATCCCATCAAAATTAAGAAATTGAAATATGCAAACTGAAAATGTATAAAAGGATAACCAAACTGAAGAAAAGAGAAAGTTCTCAATCAAACTGATTATTTAACAGCAGGTTTTTGCATAGCAAATTCCGGTAGTAGTGCTTCACGATCCCTGCTCCAACATTTACAGACTGTTGAAATTGTTCAAGGAAAACCCCTGGCCATAAGTGCAAACCAAGGGATAGATGTGACACAAAGTGCTGCTTGTACACCTGAAGAAAGAGCCTACAAAGGTGAAATTGAAACATACCCAGGTTGCTCCATCGAGCTAGTTAGATTGTAGCACTACTGTATACGGGCGAACACCACCTACTAATAGAGATGCGTCTTGTATGCAAAAATATAAGATAGCTTGATCAAGCGAACCCCCAAATATCCGAAAATCCAATAATAAAAAAATAAAAATTGGAAAAGCAGGGAATGCCCATCCTACCTCTCATCTTGCTTTTCTTAAAATGACAATTCTAACCGTAGGTTGAGAGCTTTCGCTTGTGAGCCACAGAGCGTTTCAGGAGCTACACACTCCACCCAGGAAGTGGACATGCTAGCACTTCACCTTGATACGATAATTCGATTTGTTGGAGATGAAATCGGCGTGATTACTTGAGGCATCGACATTCCTCCTGACACCACTATCTCTGTAAATATCAAACAGTCATTCAGAAGCCTGCAGAACACCTCAACATACTGTGCACATACTGAAGAATACACAGGGTAAAGTAATGATTTGCAGTTACCGACTCATATGTAACACAAATAGAGTAAATCCTAAACAAGCAAGTGCAGCAGACTAAATCTTACCGATTCCCTCCCGCACAGACAAGCTTGGTCGGATCACATCCTTCGAACTCACAAGAAAAATGTCGCCGATGTAAAGGTGATTGGTAGGTACATATATGCTGCAAAGTTCCTCATCTCCTGAATCGTTCTAATTTGTCACAATTAAGTAGAGTTAGCCAGGTCTAATCCTGAACGATCTGCGTAAGAGCGAGGTTAGGCTTTAACAAGACTCTGAGACACTGATTAGGATAGTGTTGACCTGACCTATCAGTATCTTAAGCTGATCCTTGGATCGCCTCTAGAGTCAACAACGAGCTCCCAGTTCAAACAAGTTAACGCTCCGAGTCAATCAGTTGAGGTACAGAAACTCATAGTATCACGGTACAGAAGTTCGTCTAGACATAAACCTTAAGAACTCAAGTGACTCAGCAAAAAGAGTGTTGACCTTACAGCGTGGATGTATATCGATGGATCAGATATAACTCCCTGAGGCGTGCGAGTAAAGAGATGTGCATGATGCCAAGGGTTCTCACCTGAAGAATAAGAGTGGATGTAATAAACCCAAATGCGTACTCTCCAACTCTAGGATGAGGAATGATAGCAACTTCTTTGAATGCTTGTGTATGTTGATCTGCTCAAACAACACAAGTGGCAAATGCCTCAGGTTCAAACATGTGTTCTTTGAATTATGACTTCAATTATCTTCCAAGCTGCTTACATCATTACGATTGCAGGAGTTGCAAAGCCTTTCAAACACAAACATAAAGCGAAACCAGTGCAGCATCAAAATCCAGGCTCCTGGGATCTTTTTTACCAGTTCTACAGTGATCAGCGAATCAACAAATTAGGACAACACAACTATGACTAACATGAAGTTAACGATGCTGGAAGAAACTGTACCAGGAGAGATAGCAGCACTGATCTGCTTCGAGGCCGAATAAATATGCTTCACAAGAGGCATTCGCTTGATGAACCATTCGCCCACCATTATCACGGATGATCCAATCCACGATGCTCCAAATACTCCCACCAAAAATATAAATACAAAGGACGTCACAAATCCAAGTCCTGCGACAAAGCTCATGTTCATCAGATTTTGTCAAAACAGACACTTCACATAGAAAGCGCCACAAAGGTCTGGTCCCACTTAACTGCGAGTAAATCCATTGCAAACCGTTGTAACAATTCTGAAGCTATCAATTCTAATTGCAGGAAGAAAATGAGGTACATGATGAACCCTCCAGAATCAAATTAAACAGCAGACTCTGATGATAGCTTACCAAACACATGCATGCCAAGATAGTCATAAACTGGAGAAAAGAAGCTATCGAAGAACAAGATAAACCACCACGTAGTATAGAATGTCACCGTAATCGGCGACAAAATCACACTGTTCCATGCACCAGAGAAACCGATGAGAAGAAGCTTTGATGGACCATAAACCACTAAAAAGAGAATAACATTGACCACATTGGAGAAAAAGAAAGAAGAAAAAAAAGGAAAAAACAGTTTACCAGCCGCTCATGAACTTTTTCGATGCCCAGCTTGAAAGAAAACCATAAAAGGCCTGTTACAACAAACAAAGCGTCCGGTCATTATCATTTTTTTCCTACAAAGCCACAATGCACAAACATAGCGTGTATGAGAAACTTCAAGGAACAATAAAGGCATTTCCAAATTTAAAATGCTTCCGCCTTGCCCTACCCTTCTGCAGAACACAGGGCAACAGGACAAAGAAAGTCCTAAAATCAAGCTCTGTAACAAATTTCTAAGGTGACCTTTCTATACGTTGACAAGGAGATGCTCATGGCCAGACGTTACACACGAAAAGAACATGGTCGACATCTCTATCAATGTTAGCAAATTGCAATCATTTACATTGTTTTCAGAAGCGACAGATTCCAGTGAGAGTTGCACGACAAGCACGCTCCCTAGTCAAGAGTGAAACTACCAGTAACAACTGCAATTTTGATCTTCCACTACTCCCACACATTTTGACAACAGAAAATCACACATTGCTACCGAGTAAGCGAATGACTTGGAATAACCTATACAACTAGATTGAAAATCTGCGCAAATGCACTTTCTCGCAAATAAACACAGAAACACCGTGACACAATGCACATGAAATACTCTCCTACACCTCACAGGATAACATCACAATCTAGAAGAACCGGCTCGAAATGCCTTCATCGACGAGTAGGTGCTGCATAACTCAGCCACAATGATGCAACCAATCTTCTACTCAAAATTGATAAGTATTACTTCAGCTGTGCTCTGAGCCATCAGCTGTCAGACGCGACACACCAACACTGGAAATGACAAGAAAAACGCAAACCATACAAGATTACAACTAATATGGAGACAGGACAGTAAGAATCAACAGAGCAGAGAGAACAAACCTTACCGGTGAACCGAAATACGGAGAGAGAGATGATCGAGGCAATTATCTACTTAGTTATTTTAAATATTAAAAATGATCACTGCAGAAGAAGCTCCTGTAATCAACCACCCCGACCTTACCCAACACGAAAAAAGTTAATAAAAGCTCAACGCACCTCTCTGCCTGAATGATAAGCGGAAGGTGAAGACTGACTAGTCTTCGGAGGATCCTCCATGTCATTACAATGTCCGGCCATGAGCATCTCCCTGTCAACCCCTCCCGACCGCGACGGCGAAGCTTTCTCCTCGCCCATGGTCATAACAACGACCTTCCCTATCGTGTCGACGTACGCTGAACTCAGTCCGGTCTGCTATAAGTAACTCCCCTACTCCATCCTCACCCTCGCCTCCCCATACATAATCCACTCCCCTGCTTCCTGTGCTCCAGCCCACTTCTCACAACTCCACAACACCGCCAACGCAGTCGTCATGGTCTCCACTAACTTTCACCAAAACCCGTCCTCATACGCTTCCCCTCGATCATCAACTCACAACACCTGTAACAAGCTTCCTGCAACTCGCAAACCCTAAGGAGCAAAAAAAGAAAACAGAAAAAAACAGAGCTCGACCGCGATCCGAAGCATCAACCGATGAATGTGTAGAGTTCAGAACGCAGCGCCAGTGTAGGTAACCGAAGGGGAGTGTAGGGCTGGCTATGAGTGAGCCTTCTTCAATGCCATGGTGAAGCTGATTATGGAATGAGTAAGTGAGTGAGTGAGTGATCATTCAAGGCCACCATAGCCCACCTTCATCGTCGTCGTCGTCGTGTGTAAGTAAGTGAGCAAGCGAGTGAGTGTACTTCCGCAGCCATCTCGCAACAAGATTGGCCAACGACTCTTTCGTTCGAAATTGTTTCTCACCTGCTCCTGGCCCTGCCCGAGGATTGCGAGCAGGGCCTGTTCTGAGTGAAATCCGTCGTGGCGTGGGGTGTTTCAGACCACCAGGAAGGCGGAATTCCGCGCGGGACGGAAATAAGGCACGAACACCTGTTTGGGCCAAATTGTGCCGCGGAGAATCTTGAACTTAGTGGAGTCATTTCCCGCCTTTTCTGGCCCGGGAATGAGCTCTTTAGTTGGATGGGTCTCGTAATCTCCTTTTATTGAAGATTTTATTGAACAAAATGTAGATATAAACGAAGAAAGAGAGAGCGAGAGAATGGTGTCAAGATCATTTTAGTCATTCTTTTTTATTGTTGAATATTAGAATACATTTATAAAAAATGTTCACCATTTAAAAGTCATACCATTGTGATATATTTAACTTTGTTTTTTCAAAGTATTTCTAATTTGTTGTAGAATTATACTTTATAATAATTAATCATGCATTAAATCAAGACAAAAACCCATTGAGCAAGAAAATTCTTAAACTATTACTGTTTACAAGTGATTGTTAGTGCAATGAATTTATGTTTTCTACTTTTCATAATGTTAGAATTTATATTTGCTTTATGTTTTTTTTATATCAATCTTAGCTTCATTATTAAAAGTATTTCTCATTCATTATTAAAATAGAATATGAGTATGCTAAGGCGATATGACTCATCTTAGAGTATTTTAAGGGATTTTTGCAAAAATAGTGCATGATAAATGTATTCGTAAATAATCAAAGTTATTTAAGTATATTCTTTACTTGTCTAAATCCAGTTTGGATCTTTACAAATTAAAGAATAATTTTGTTAAAAATACATATCCACACACACACACACACACACATATATATATATATATATATTTTTTTTTTTGAGTTGTGTTTTAAATGTTAAAGTTATAGATTTTCCTATATGGGATGAATAGTGTTGTTTCCTAGAATTTATGATTTTACAAATATTTGAAAAGCCAGGTCGTTTATGCTTTGAAAATAACATGAATAGCGTTGTCTTCTAGAATGTACAATAAGCATACATTGAAGAGATAGCTATAACAAGAATTCAATAATTTAAGTTAAATTTTGATACAAAAAACAACCAAAGTTTGTTCATGTATTTATTTATACTTTTAAATCTTTAAATGTGCCATAATTATTAAATTGAAATATTAATTGAAAAAATTATATTTAAAAGAAAAATACTAATTTGATTTAGGCTGTCCAAAATATACTTTGTCAAAAAGTCAAGTCTTCCAAAAAGAAAATTTTCTTCACCAAATACAACACATCTGAAAAGGCTTGTACTATTGTCTTGTAGAGTCCATGCCTTGGTGGACTTCTAGAACCCCTGGGAGCTTTAAGGACATAGAGTTTCAAAGTGGAAAACGAATTTTCAATCAGCAGTTGATAGGTTTTGGATTTAATGTCATTCAATAGTGTCTTGGCTGACTTGTTTTCGGAAAAGATGTAGATCTCTCAGCTTCTCTCGTTCTCTTTCACAAGTTCCTGCTGCCCCAAATTTTATCATGTTACCAAACTCTTACAGGTGCTGTCACAAACCAAGACAGCTAACTGGATTCCAAATACACACACAAAATGAGGACTGCTGGTGATTCGAAATCAATCACACCCATACGTTGTGCGAAGTAAGAACAGTACATCAATAGAGAGAAGTCTCCAGGTCCAAGTTGCTTTTTAATTTTTTTTAATTTTTATTTTTTTACTGTTTACAAGAAAACCCAGTAAGACGGTTACAAACTTCTTTGGATTCTAAGAAAAAGTCTGTACTGCTTATAAAGCATCAAGCAATGGATACATGTCAGCACGACGTGCTACTTTCTGAGTTGGAAATAGAACCTGCAACTGTGAAGTTGACACATAAGTCTCTCTTTCTTTGACTGTTCAAGATTCTGACACTGAAGAATATGCTCTAGCCCTTTTCCGATGATGACTAGTCCACGTACCGATAGCAACGTGTCTTGTGTACAAAAAGATGAGGAGGTGATTTCATCAAGTAAGCCCCACCAAGATCCGCAAACATAAATGATCTACATTCCCTCAAACTGCTTTTCTTAGAATGGTCGATTCCGACCATCTGTAAAACCCTTGCAATGCTAAACCATGGGGCATTAAACGAGCTCCACATTCTACCTACGAAATCAGCACACAAGTTCTTCATCTCGACACAATAATACGGTTTGCTGGAGATGATATCGGTGTGATCACTTGTGGCATCGACATTCCACCCGAAACCACAATCTCTGTGAATAACAAAAACAGTTACTCAGGAACCCGCTGCCACAACTGACTACCAAGATATTAACAACTAATAAAGACCAGGTAAGATTGAGTAATCATGTGTCAATATCAACCCATATAACACAAACACGGCGCAAGATTAAGCAAGCAAACAAAGGAGATTGAAACATACCAATGCCCTCTCGCACGGACAAGCTCGGTCGGATCACATCCTTCGAATTCACTAGGAAAATGTCGCCGATGTAAAGGTGATTGGTAGGTACAAATATGCTGCACAGCTCCTCATCTCCTGATTCGTTCTGATTCGTCACCACAAGTGTGAGTCAGTCACGACAAGATAACATAGGCTTCAGCAAGACTAATGCAATTAGATACAAGGAGAAATACAAATAAAAAAAGGTTTATGGTACAGAGGGCTCCTCACCTGAAGAACAAGGGTGGAAGTAATAAACCCAAAGGCGTACTCCCCAACTCGAGGGTGCCGAATGATAGCAACCTCTTTGAATGCTTGGGTATTTTGATCTGCTCAAATATCAATGACATCACACACTTAGCACTAAAGCATGAATGAGGTATCACTAAATAAGAACGAATCCGTACTGGTAATTTAGAGCAACTTAAAATATAACATGCCTGGAACAATGCTCTGGACAAGATTCGCCAACCATTCCACAAATTTGAAGTCGTTTCAACTTGTGGAACCATCTACATGAGTTTGCAACACCAACGTTGCTGAAATCTACCATCACTAAGATTCCAGAACAATGAAGGAGCTATACCTGGAGAGATTGCAGCACTGATCTGCTTCGAGGCAGAATAAACTTGCTTCACAAGAGGCATGCGTTTAATAAACCATTCGCCCACCGTTATCACAGATGATCCGATCCACGATGCTCCAAATACTCCCACAAGAAATATGAACACAAATGATGTCACAAATCCAAGCCCTGGAACAAAACCTATGTTCGTCAGCATTCATAACAACATGCACTTCGCACACGAAGATATAAATCTGGCTTGCAACCACACCCATCTAAACCATGTACGAGCGATACATCAACGAACCAAAAAATCGAGAAGTAGCGATACACAGACAAAACACAGGCCACGCCATCGTTAAATAACAGCTTACCAAACACATGAATGCCGAGATAGTCATAAACTGGAGAAAAGAAGCTGTCAAAGAATTTGATGAACCACCACGTAATATAGAATGTGACCGCGATTGGCAACAAGATAACACTGTTTCAATCCACCAGAGGAACCGGTGAGGAGAAGCTTAGCTGGTTCGACAAATGCTAAAACTGAAAAATCTTAACCATGTTTCAAATGACCATTTTATCTATCTGCTAGGGTTAAATTGAGTAAAGCTTCTGAACATTCATCAATAAAGACGAAGTTTGTTGGCAATCAAATTTCAACTCCTCCAGAAACACTATCAGACAACCACGTAACACAAGACACCGGGCAACCTTTCCATAACGTACCCAAATCTTCTAAACACGACCATCAGAACCGACTGTGACTAACATGCAGTGATATGCACCATAAATTCTCAACCTAATAATAGACCTCAAACTGCATCAGAAAACGAACAAAAGCAATATCGGAGCAGTAAAACATAAAACAAAAAATAGTTCTAGGAAACTTACCAGCCGCTCATGAACTTTTTCGATGCCCAACTTGAAAGAAATCCATAGAAAGCCTATCACAACAAAACAAAAAAAAGAAAGAACAACGACTGAAATCAGCTCCTGGTGTCACGTATCCATATACAAACATGTTTGACGAGAACATGTTTGATAACAGCCTAATCAAATCGTTTCACTAAAACAAGCTACTCATACTTGACTTAAGAATTTATGGAGTGCAGCTGTGGCCAAAAACAAATAGAAACAGAGAGAACATCCGAGGCAATGGAGCACAGCATGGACCTGGACTATATCCCAGATAAGAATATCACTGCAGACCAACACATATTCAGTGCGAAAGAGTACTGGTCCTGTTGATCCAAAATGTAAGCCTATCGCTAACCAGACAGAACGCCACTGCATACAGTTGCCTCGGCCTTCCCTCTTGCAGCGAGTAAGATAACTAACAACGAAGACCCTGAAGTCAAACCAAGTCGTTTGTTGTTGTACACGCTGTTCCTTCATATGCTTCACTGAGTTTGCTCATTCTACCGTGGCTGCATATTTTCTATCCTGCAACTTCAAACTTGGTAGCCCAACAATCTTCGCACTGACACACAAAGTAATATTTTCTTAAGGTGAATAGTGCATAGAGAAAGAAGACGATGCCAACAGAACTGGCGTTGCAAATATTATACGAACAGTTTTGCAACCATTACAACTATCGCCAGCATCGGCAGAAGCCATTGTTACTCGAATCATAAGCAGTTATTGTACTTCAACTCTTCGACAACTCTCACACTCTGATGAGTAATATACAGGCAAAGATACTAGATAGTTATCATCGTAGAAATTTTCAAAATTTGCACCAGAAAAATTTGCGCAAGAAAAATACTTTCATAAACATCATCGTGTAAAATCTTCTGGCATGGAACAAACTAGAATATTAAAAGCCAGTAGAACCAGTTCAACAGCCATTTGTAGACGATTACACGCTGTCAAACTGATCCACAAGAGTACATTCGATGTACTCACACTCTTGATAACCGTTATCTCAGCTGAGACCTAACACATGAGCTTTCAGACGAGAAAGACTGGCACCTAGAACTATGGAAAACGATAAACCACAAAAGCCTGAATGTAACGCAGCCAACTAACGAGGAGACGGGACAGATAAAATCCGTCAAGGTAGGTAGAGCGTTAATTTTCTCAAGGAAAAATAGAGGGATGGAGATGATTGTGTCAATTGTATATTAATTTCATTTTTTAAAATTCCAAACTTTAAATTATGAATATATATATATATATATATATACGACGAAGAGGGAGAGAGGAGCAGAGGCAAGAGGGAGAGATAGAGCATCGCGGCTCACGCCACCCTCATCATTCAACCACACCTTCAACAACACAGCCTCTGTTCCAAGCCAAAATAAAAATGCACGGTCGTTGGTAGAGCAGACTTAAAATGAAAGAAAAGGAAGAAAAACACAAACGAAAACTCAACGCACCTCCCGGCCTGAATGGTACGCAGAAGGAGAAGGCTGGCCAGTCTTCGGGGGATCCTCTATGTCATCGCCATGCCCTGCCATGAGCAATTCTCTGTCACTTCCTGCCTGCCGCGACGGCGAAGCTTTATCATCACCCATGCTCACAGCAAAAACCCTCCCAATCGCGCGGAGCTGCACAAAGCTCACCCCAACACTCCACTCCAGCAATTGACCCACGCTAAACTCTCACGCTCACCTCTCTCCTCCACACACAACAACCTAGTCCTCTCATGAACTCTCTCGCCCCCCCTTCCACGCATTCCACACACATCAACCCCGCACAGCCACTCGCTTAAGTCATACTTTCCAGAAAGCCCCACCAAAATCTGTCTCCATTCCTGTGACCTCCCCACACACGCTTCGGCGCAGTAGTAGTAGTAGTCCACTACCCAATCAATTCCCTTTAACACGAATTTTCCTGCCAATTCACCAAACCCTAAGCAGGCGAAACACCGAAGTTCCAAACCCCGACCCACAACAGCAACAACAACAAGTGGGAGAAGAAGAATCCGAAAATTTGACGAGGTGGGTATGAACTGAAAACGCGAGATTGAGGTCGCTGATACTCAAACGAAACAAACAATCTCGACATACCGGCAGGAAAGGGCGAAATCCGGCGATATGCCATTAAGCGATGCAGCGCTTTCCCGCATCCGCGATGGCCGGAGGAGCTCGCTCCGTCCCTCTCTGATGACCGACCCCGCTTATAGGGGGAGGCCCTCTATGCCCGCGGGTACGGGTTTCACCCGGTATTTCCACGGGCAGACGATTCCGTGTGGAATTTGTCATCAGGTGGTGTGCTCCGGGTAGTAGGAGTAGAATTCCATTTAGAATGGTCGAGTTCAGAGCAACTTCGTGGGCTCAAACGTGTTTGTGTGTGTGTTTGTGTTTGTTTGTGTGTGTGCTATATTTATTGTATATTTAGCACATAGAAATATAATTTTTGAATTAAATTTCATTTAAGTCTTCTGTCAGTTCAACGGTTGTAGAACAAATATATATATATATATATATATATATATATATAAATATGGAACATTTATGAGCAAATTATAGTCTGAATTTTAAAATTGTATTTCATTAACTATTCTACGAGAATTTGATTTACAGATATTCTATAGTTAGAACGAAACAAAAGAAAAATATTAGTAAAATAAAATGAGAACAAGATGCATTCATTAAAAAAATCATATGTTGAAGATTAGCCCAAAACTTTGTAAAACAATGTACAATCATATGTCTCACAGCCATATTAACAATTAATCATTCTCTTGCGTCAGAAGATTTTTACAATGTAAAAGTATGGAATTTTGAATCAGTAATAATTTTTATAACATTTATAATTAAATTATGTATTTTTATTTTTTTGTAATTATTTTAAAAAATTACTAGTCAATTATTTATCTTTTAATAATATTATTTTATTGCTAATTTATTTATATAAATTGAATATGCTCAATTTCAAAACAAATTAAAATATAGAAAAAATATTTTAAAATATTAATAATTTTTATGTATACTTTTAAATCCAAACTATCACTGAAATAGATTGATGATTTTGTGCAATCAAAAATTAGAAAATAAAAAATGAGTGCATAATAATTGCACGATTAAGCATTTTATATCAAGAATTTGATGTTTAAATCCCAGTAATATTTCAAATGGAAAAAAACATGGAGATACTCCACATATCCATTCTATTTTAATTAAAGATTTTTTTTATAATTATAAAATTATAAAGTGAATTATACACTTACAACAATGATGCAAAATATGTGCAATAAATTTTTCGTTTCTAATTCATATACATTTGCTTATATTACAATACAAATTTCATTAATTTTCATTAACATTGCACATATTAAAAAATATCATAGAAACTTACTTGGTTCATAATAAAAAAATAACATATTTCAAAATTTTAAACTCTGATTTAAACCTATGAAAAAGAGATGAATGAAACAAAAACATACAATCTCACATGATAATACAAATCACAAGAGAATCTTGTACTCTTAACCATTTTGCAATATATATTAAAAACAACAGCTCACAAGGTTATCCATGATCCAAAGCACTTGTTTGTTTGTTTTTGTTTTTATTTTTTATTTTTTTTAAATCTTCAAATCTATTCCTGTCCGGCGCCTTATCTTTAATCTCAAATAGTCAAATCTCAGGGTTGAAGTAGGTGGAATATCTTTCATTCCACAAGACCTTCAGAAAAACATATATATATATATATATATATATATATAAATATATATTTATACATATACATATATCCCATTGTGGACGAGTAATGAAACCCACACTCTCACTGCCCAACTCAGTAAAACAAGTTCCATTACAAGAAAAAACCTCCAACTTTGTAGTGTACAAAGTTATACCAAAGTGTACAGATAAGAATAAAGGTAAGCAATCACCTTATTTTCATCATACCTACCACTTTTTTCTATTTATGGCTCCGGTAGTTGAACTCATCTTCCACCTTTTACCCCTCCTGCTTTGAAACCGTCAAGTGTCTGGATCTGGCAAACTCTACTTCGAAGAGTAGTAATGCTCCGGAGTAGGAATAGGAGGAATGAGGATACACGAACCCGAACCCTGAAACTCTACCTCCACCATCTCATCGAGCTCTTTGCTTATCATATTCAAATCAACCTGCACAACCGAGACGTGATAGATCCTTCATGATTTGACCAGGACTTGTTTTTATATATATATATATATAACAGATACATTTAAGGTAAACGAAGACAACGTAACGACAGACGAGTTATATCAATTGGGTTGCAGTGGAGTAATAATACAAACCTTCTTAGCAATCTCAACTTTCAGATCACCAGCCTTGTACAGTTCGAAGAGCAATTGCGCACCTTCTAGAAGATCAACTTTTCGCTTTACATAATCTGCCAAGACGGGAAATGCCACCACCACACTTGTCTTTCCTGGAGGGTCAGAAAGCAGCAGCCAGTTTCAGTCGTGGTTTCGGAGTGATTGAAATGGAAGATGTTTCACGTCTGAACCTGCGACTGCAACACATGACTGTTTTGCTCCTCATGTCCCATTGACAAGCACATTCTGATGTGCTTGTTTTGTTTTGTAAATTTGGAGGACGTAAATGGTACTCTTGTGTCTGACTGTAGGAAAATAGACCCTTCAGATGATAAAGCAGGAGTTCGTGCCGCTCTTCCTTGACAATACAATCTAGGGGCATCGTAACAGCAGACGCAATGGCAGTTACACTTTCCGTCTTTTTCGAGCAACTGCAGTGGTCAATTAAGACCGATAAAATGACTGATAACTCTCTCTCTCTCTCAATCCATGTCTACCGCTGAAGGCTTTTGGCCAGCCATTAATGAGTGAACACGAAACTCCACAACCCAGCAATTCAAGGAGTTTTCGACTGTATCAGATTGTAGCAGTGGAGCTTAAATCAAAGCAGCTCAACCCACATCCACGCATACGTCGTTCAGATGACCAAGTGAACTGCGGTAAAGACAGTTAATTACCTGCAAGATAATTGAGGTTGAGCACTGGGGCATCGCCTCCTTTAGCGCCGAGGCTAACCAGCATTCCCTTCGGAGCCAAACAATCGAGAGACGCCATGAAAGTGTTATTTCCTATCGAATCAAATGCGACATCCACCCCTTCTCCAGATGTCAACTCCCTCACCTCGTCAGCAAAACCACACTGGGAGCTTGCCTCATCCCGATTGACGAGAACTTCACGGCACCCATTATTTTTTGCATGCTCAACACGATCTTCAGAACTAACGGTCCCTATTACAAAAGCTTGGAAGTGTTTCGCCCACTGAGCGATTATAGACCCAAGTCCACTTGTCACATTGCGAACTAACACTGCATCACCACGTCGAAGAGGCTTCAGCTTCTTCAACGTCATCCACGCCGTCAAGCCTGGGAAGAGTAAAGCAGCAGCTTCCTCATCAGCGATGTTCGAGGGAAGAGGAATTAGGCAGTTCGTTGGTAATATACTCGTCTCACTGAAGGCGCCTTTTTTGGGCGGGTTTACGTAGCCCACGCGCTGCCCTATTTGATGATTAAGCACTCCAGTACCTGGTGGCTCGAAGCGAAAAGGAACAATTTCTTCATGTCAGTACAAATGTTTGATTCAAGTGCGTTATTCATTCTTTCCTACCTATACATATACTACATATCGAGAAACAAATCTAGCTAAAATCTGCAAAAATCTTTGCAACATGGAAGCGTGTCCTCACCGAAGGAATTTAACTCTAACAAGGATGGTTGAAGCCCTCTTTTTCTTGAAGCCATAAACCGCCGAGGGCAAAGATAATTTGAAAGCTATTTGACAAATTTGTGTAAAGGAAATATTTTTAAGTTACACACTTACCTAGTTCAGTAATAACACCCACAGCGCTAAGGCCTGGTGTGAAAATTGAATGACTAGTGTGATGACCTACTCCTCTACAATCTTCCATGTCTGGGTAATTGAACCCAATTGCCCTATGTCGGACTTCAACTTCATCGCAACCAGGGTGAGGCAGCTCAACCTCTTCAAGTTGGAGATGGTGACGACCTCCGACCGCATGTACGCGCACGGCTTTCACCATGCTTCTTGCTTCTCAGAATTGGACTGGAACTCTACACTCCCGTCAAATGTTGAAAGATTTGTGCACCAAGTACTTATTCTCAACGGCAAAATCGTGTTGCCCGTCACTACTCATACCCTGAGATGACTGGCACTGTTAGTTCGAATAGCATCCGCAGCTATAATCTATCTTGAATTAAAATATAAAATAAAATAAAAAACATCGCTCCCTACTTCCTTGATGAGGTGACATAATGCAATGCAAAAGTGGAGCAATGCATACCTACAAACTCGAAAGAAATGTAAGTAGAATTATCTTCAATTGGTACTTTCCACCAACTTTGTGAAACAGTATTCACACTATTCTGGGGCGAATTCAGATCAACAAAATAACCGGTCAGGATCGAACAATCTGTCGCAGGAAAAGGATGCTAAACCTCAAAACAGGGCACTTTCATACATTTCTCTCCGCTTCAAATCGCTTCAACCACTGTATTGGTGCAGCAAAATGTTACCGAATCAACAATGATTCAGCTCTTAAACACCCACACCCCCAACCCAAAACTGAAAACCACACTATTCAAACCCTCAGCCATTCAGAATTATAATGCCGTGCAAAATCACAACAAAATAAATAAATAAATAAATAAAAACTCACTCTACTCCTGATCAAGCTCCCCCCGAACGACAGACACAACGCATCGCCTGTCTTCAAGCACGTCGCCCTGCGGCACAACAAAAAAATCACCGCATGCCACCGGTTTGGCACCCAAAACTCTCCACACCAATCAACCTCAGCGGACAACTCAGAAACACAGCTACCCTACCAACAATACTCGCAATTTTCTTCCAAAACCAACGAATTGGGGGCTCTTCGAATATGGGATGGGGTTGAAGGGAAGAAGGGCGCATCAAGCTGAAAATCGAGGAGGTCGTCATCACAGCGCAGGTCGCGAATTTCGGCATGCTCTTCTGTCGTGTCGACAAGTGGAATCCACTATGTGTGTTCAGACGGTGCTTCTCCGAGAGCGCGGTAAAAGGTGTGGGGTCTAATCCCGTTGGATGACCCGTTCCGAAGTAGATGGATGATTTCGTGGACATGCGTTCAAAGTCGGGGGCGGGCGACTGACGCTGGGTCTTTTCCTTACCGCGGTAGTCGGCGTCAGTCCGCGGCAGTAGGCGGCAAGTCTTTTTGTCTCCGTTCTGTGTATCTCAAAGATAAACTTTTGCTTTGAAGTAAGAAGCTGTCTTTTAAACTACCTTGTGGTAAAAAAAATTAAACTAATTTAAAGAAAATTTTATGATGAAATTTATTGAAGAATACACAATATTACATGACTATAAAAAATAAAAATAAAAATAAAAACTTTCTTTCAAATAGGCAAAACATCAATTAACACATTTAAAATTTTGAAATAAAATGTCTTTGAATTGAGTTTTTATTCAAGTTTTTTTTTTAATTATTAATATTTTGGAAGATAAAGAAGGTTTTAATTTTTGAAATGTTTTTGTATATTTTTCTTAAATATATGAACTGCAATAAAATTATAATTTTTATATTAAATATAATTTGGAAATATATTTAGGAAATTTTAAAATTTACACACCCTTCTTTAGATTTTTAATTAAATTCTAAACTTGATTTAGATTTTTACAGACCAATTAAAATATGATCAACTTATGTTTGTTTTCTCTTTTTATATCTTTTACATCTTATCCTTTAATTTTCTTCTTAATAGTCTTTTGAACCTAAAGAAAAATTGGAATCTTTAGTTTTTTTAAATGTATTTTAATTTTCAAAAATTAGAAGTATTTTCTATATATATATATATATATATATATATATACATATATTTAAATATAACAATAAAAATTGTTTTGCAAATGGTTTAAGTCTCTTAATATGTGCTTAATTATTTGTTATTACAAAGAATATGTGTTGCAGTTCTTATATGTTGCAAATATGATATAAAAATATTAAAAAAAATAAATTATAAACAATGTTATAGTACACATGGGTACAACAAGATGATATAAATCATAGTCGTTTTTTTCTTTTTAAATTTTTCTTTATACCATACATATCTATAAACTATTCAGAATAATATATATTTTTTACTATTTTCAAAAAATTATCATGTCATAACTCTATTTGTCTTAAAACCCTTTCATACTTATTCTTTGACAAAGTCATACATTTGTATAATAATAGATTGTTACATGTTTTTATTCTTTAATTAAAATGTAGTAATATATTTATTATTATTATTATTATTATTATTATTTTGTAAAATATCCTTGCCAACATAAAAAAATATGTACATTTATTTTTTGATTTAATTTTTTTTAATGTGTTTACATAATTTTTATCTCACTATTATATTAATTTAATATGTTTTTATATTAATAGAGAATTCATTTTAAATAAGTAAAAGTAGATAAAAATATGTTTATAGATATTGACACTTCTACATGATCTTTATAGTATCAAATATATGTGAAGATAAGACTATAGCCATTCTCAATCCTCACAATATCTTTTCTTGTACTCTGTATTAATTCAAGAATTTTTAGTTTCTTTGGACTATGTAATATTCATTGTAATATCTATCTACTTTACAATGTACTTCTTCTCAATTTTTTTTTCTTTTCTTTTTTAGTTGTATAAATTCATTTATTATTTTTTTACAAGTATTTATATATTTCAATTTTTAATAGATATAATATACACACAAGTTATAGATTTATTAATGTATAGAATTATAAACATTCAATTAGACTTTAAATATACTATCATTATGGTGACCCAATACATTGCTAATCTATAAATAAGTTATTGGATAAATATTAAAAGACTTAAGCAAATATATTGTATGATGATAATAAAATACTTACATTATCTTATATATTATCTTATAATATTACTTTTTATATATTTTAATATAAGTTTATAAATCATGATGTAATATTTGGTTTTAGTAAATTGTAAAGAAGCAAGTATAAGTTAATATTGTAGCACCATGCTTTTAAGAATTGTTTTAAGTAGCACATCTATTCTTAAAACTTATTGAATATTTTTTACTTGATTATTTTTTAAGATATTATTTTTATTCATTCAAAAATATTTTATCAATTTAATATTATATATGTATAGATATACACTTATTCAAACATATCTTTGATTCTTTTTTGTAAAGAATTGTTAATGCTACATCTCCAATTGATATTGCTACATCCCCAATTGATATTGCTACATCCCACATGACCTCCACACAACCTAAATTGACTAAAAATCTCACTTTTACACTAAGGGCATATTTAGGAGCCCAATATGTTATTCTAATATTAACCCAAAAATAGAATAAATAATAAATAAGTTTTTTGTGAAAACCAAGTGATTTTTTTTAAAAAATTAAATATTACTTGAGACAAATATATATATATATATATATATATATATATATATATATTGAAAAATCAGCTCACAACTTGCTTTTTAAAATAAAACTTTCATTGTTTCCATTGCAATAACCACCCTTTTTTTAACACAAAGAAAGGAAATAATGTGCAAAAGAAAGAAGCATATTATTAGCTAATTGTCTACGAGGAGGTCACTTAGGGTGTAGGGATATCAATTAGGGATGTAGAGTTAACAATTCTCCTCTTTATTACATAAAAATAATTCAAAATTCAAAATCAACAACAGTTTTGATTTTTCAGAAATTCTTTTACCATATCAATTTATTTTACACAGTTGCTTGGATCAGTTACTCATTTTAAAACTAATATTTCATTTTTCAACATAGGTAAGTCCAATTCTTCAAGTAATTTATCAAACAACATTTTTGATTTTTGTTTCGATAGGTAAACGAGAACTTGTGTAAAAAGATATGAAAATTCAACATGCCAGCATACAGATCCTAACTCACGTCGAGACCACTGACAACGCAACCAGCTTTTCATCCACGATTTATCAAGAGTAGCAACATGTATAATCCTCATTCATTAAGCGGTATGAGCTTTATAGTGAGAACCATGCTCCCCGCCCCTCCCCCAGTTCGCACGAGGTCCCGAATCCCGAGCTCCGCGCTCCCACGCTCGAACGACGGGGAACGCGCAAAGCGAACAAGGCTTGGGGAGCACCACACGATGCACCGCCGCAGAGCTGGAGCCCCACACGAGGCCAGAGCTGAGGCACTTGCCGAAGTGGGGGCGAGGAGACTGGGCACCAGTGACATTAGCAGCAGCAGCAAAGTGAAGCAGAATAAGAGGAAGAAGAAGAAGCAGTAGAATCAAATCTGGGAGGGCGAATGAACAGTATATATCTGTCTTATTATTCTATAAAACCAGCGGCTGTGCGCAATCGCATTCTTCTGGCTTACAAAATATCGCGGCCACATGTCCTGCATCTAGGAGCTGGCCCTTCCCCCACCAACCCGTTCATGCCAATTGTCCTCGGCATTTCTGATTTTCCCCACCCCATTTCTCCACCGTTCATCTGCCTAGACCCAGCTCACAAATTTCGTGCCGGTCGATCTGCCCAGTCGTGGGTCATCATCTAGTCTGGGGTATAGTCAAATACTGGTCCTGGGTGTAGTAACTGTGCTCGACCGCATTCCTTCGCGAAACACTGCAGGTTTACGATTTCGGTGGAAGTGTGTGTGCTCCATCAACGGGGTCCGTTTTCTGTGCTTTGATCGGTTGGTTGCTTGTGAGGGTAGTGTCGATCGACTGGAGGTTGGGGTTTGAAGCTTGAGATTTTGACTTTCTTTTTATAATACTTTTACTTCTTGGTGCCGTGGTTGGATCTTTCGGTTGCAATGGCGTTGACAGCAAGTTCGTCTTGTACTCCGGCGGTGAGCAGCTTGCTCGCCTCGGATGGTTCGGTTTCGTCTCCGAAGGCGCCGAGTGGCGGTGTGGTGCCGCTTCCGGCGAAGCCCAAGTTCCAGAGCGCTGGACTTAAAAGGACCAAGTCTAGGAAGCCAGTGAAGAATACTAAGGCTCGTGCTGGAGTCCAGGACGCCGTCCCCACTGTGGAGCAGTCCCTGGAGAGTACCGTAACTCAGGCTGTTAACAAAGTAAGTGAGGAAATTGCCACCACGTCGAGCGAGATCCTCGACGCTGTGGACTCAGTCATTGAGGACGGGCCTGTTGCAATGCGAGTGCGCAAGAATGCAGGCAAGGTGAACTCTAGAATTTCCCGGAGACGTGCGTTGGTGACGTGCTTAGCTCTGGGCATGGTTAGGCCGTGTGTTAGTAACATCGAAAGCAATAGCAAGCAAAGTAACGATCTGAGACGGACTTCCTCCGCAATGCCAGGCATTCGTAGAACTACATCATCTTCCTTCAAGGTGCCTCTCGTCAGCCAGGTTTCCCTTGCGACGGCTATGAAGCAGACCAACTTATTAGGAGAGCAGGAGGATTTGCAAAAGCTCACCACTTTGCAATAGTCTGCATACATCAAGCAACATCTAGATCTTTGTACGCATATTCCTCTTCCTTATGAACTCATAAGAGAACCTTCTGCGGAATGAGGGGTTAGCGTTGATTAGAGTATTTGCCCACTCATATAGCATCACTACGGTGTTCTTATTTTTCTGAATTTTGGTTTACTACATCATATTCAATTGTACAGTTCCTATTCAAATAAACTGTGTTCCTAGCAACTGGAGTTCACAGGAACAAGTACCTCAGTCATGGGTTCAGGATAGTAATTTATCAATTGCGTCTCTCATTAGGGGACACTAAGCGGCTAGTTCATGGTAGATACCATTTAGTGTTCTTCAAATTGCAAATAATTTTTTTATCAAGTTATCAGCTGCAATGCAACACACTTTCAACACTATAATTTTACGTCGAAAATGAGTAGCCTATTTTGTAGACAGCGGTTGCATATATATATTATTCATGAGGAAAGGTAGACCACATTCTTTATACCAATGAAAATTTCAATTCTCTTCTACCC